TTTTTGCTGTATACTTGTGCTGTTTAAGACTGTAGAATACGGAGCATACCTGAGAAAAGCCAACTTTTATAATGTAAAAAAATAGCTTTCTGAGCAATGAGTTTGGTTGACTTTCTATAAACCACTTTTGTTGATGAAAATGCCCCACCCAACTCGATATTAAGGGTTTAGCTAAAAGTTAAATATTAAATTATGCTAATTAGTGATTAATGAAGAGTTTTTAGCTTGGAATGTGTGGATTAACTAATTTTTTTATTAAACTACACTTATCAATTAAGCTAATTCGGGATAAATTTAGCAAAGCATAGATTGGCTTTTTAGGATTATAGATTAGTCTAGTTTAGTTGTTTGTCATTGATACATTCATTAGTATATTAATTAGTCTAATTCTAAATAATTATTTATTAATTATCAGGACAATAAAGTATTTTAATTAGTTACACATTAATTAATTAATTAATAATATATCTTAATTAATTAAGTATTAATTAAAGTTTGGGATATCAATTTAACTTAATTAAATATTCTAAGTAGGGATTTAGTTATTCTTAGTAATTATTGAATTACTGGGATCATATTTTACGTAATCTTAATCAAAGTAAAGTCTTCTAAGTTAGGTAGTATTGATAGATCAGGCTATTATTAACGATTATAATACTAGATTTTCTTGATCTATTTTATCAATTAGTAATTAAGTAGGCTATTTTTTAATGCTTTTTAACTTTATTAGACTACTAAGTTATTAAAATTATATCAAACAATTAACAAAATAATCAGTACTATTTATTTCCTGCTAACTATGGTATCAAAGTAGCATGTTTAGTATTTTTAGTTTAAAGTCATACTAAAACGGGGGTTAAATTGGGTTTGTATTAGCACTTTAGGGTTTCTTTGAAACTCTTCTCAAGTTAACTCCACACACTAAGTATGCAGAATATAAACATACCATATGCGTCAAATGAGCTCCTATGAACTACTACAAAAAGCTCATCATGCATCCAGCATATTGTCTATAAGTAAATACATTCAAGCAGTAAGATTGAGGTTGATGATAGTCGGTACTACAATCTTGTAAAGAAGACGTAGTAGTTTCTACTACGCCCATCGGAGAACACTGACAGAGGATTATGAATGACAAAAGATATACAATATGCCTATTGAGGCATAAAGAAAGTATCAATTTGCGAATCAATGTGTACGATGAAGCCAAAAGTCTGTCACAGACGCCATAACACATTTGCAAGTGACGATCATCAGTAGACAATGAATATTGCAGTACCAAACTCCTACAAATGGCAGTAACAACTGAAGGGAATTGACATGCAAAGAAGACAACAAGTTGTTCGGGATAAAGCGTGATCCTCATATAGATAATGTTGAGAGGTTTGCAACACACGTGGCATACTGTCTATGAACAAGATTAGCATTTTATAGTTCATGTTAGGCTTTCAAGCCCCATAATAAGGAAGATTCGCTTGTAAAAGCAAAAATCCTACGAAAGACCCAATCCTCTGTTGGCAAATTGACAGAGTCGACAAAGTTCAAGCCATAAATACAAATTACCCAATAATACTCTGATAATTGTGTTGAACGTAAATATCAACCGAAGGGATTAATCTTCAAATATTCAAAATACCTCCCAAATACACATCAAAGATTCAAAATTCCAAAAATATCAAAGCTCCAAATCTCAAAAGTCAAAAATATTTAAAATGGAAATAAATCACAAAAACACTCAAAGCAAAATCTGTCTTAAACTGTAGGTAAACGGTTATGATGGTGGCCCTCTAAACTGTGTGGTTTGTCGCCAAATGGAACTACTAAATTACGGTTATGGTCAAAGCCTGTAAACTCCCCAATGGCATCAAATTCTTGATATATGAATCAGTATGATATTATCGATAGGGCACAAAACCCTTTGCCAGCTAAGGTGGATTCAAATTTGTCCCGTTAGACAAATATTCACCCCAGGTCTACAAGTTACCCTTGGACGAGCAACACATGGCTGCATACAGTGATCCTTCTATCAGGTTGGGTCAACTATCTCCTATGACTACGTAGACCAAGGACCACGATGGTCCGGGACGACGGAACCATGGGATCTTGATCGGGTCCATTTTCCATTCCCCCACCATTCGCTTTAAATGCGAGATAGTGAAATTTCCAATTTTAGGTATCAAACTCTCAAAAACTTAAACCAATGCTGCTACTATATGTCATATATCACGTATTCTCTACGTTTCTAATCAGCAATTGGCCTTAATCAAAAGTTCTCTCTTGTTGTTGGAAGGGGTAATTAACTATAGGAGCTTGTGCCTATAGGAAACTAGAACTTAGATCATAATGCCCTCGTAAAATGAGGGTGAAATCTCTGGGTAGTGTCTTATTACAAAGTCAATCTGCCTTCTCAAAATCTATCCCGTAACTGAATTCGTTAAAACTCCCCCGAAAGCACAGGGAGTCCGGGCCAAGAATTTTCGAAGCCCACACTCTGCAAATGGTTGTGACAAGGAGTGTGGCACTATAGGATACAATATGGAAAGGTTTTGGATGTGATTTGGGCAAAGAAAGAAACTTTATTTATATATTTTATTATATTATTAACATGCATAGGGACAAAATGGTTGTGAATCGGCCTCTCCCACTTGTCTCGAACAATATATTTTCTTTAGGAAGGCCTTTTGGCAACCTGTGAAGAAACCAGTTTTTAGCACTTGGAGTCGATACTAACCAAAAGGAATTTACAAAAAATAGAATTTTCTGGTACAATCAGATCCTTCATATAGTTGGGAACAATTCCACTTTGGAAAGTCCTCATCTAATTTCTATTTAAACATATTAATATTTCTCATTTTCCCATTGGTAGTATCCTTGCACCAACTTGTTTGTGTTAAATTTATTGTTTCAGTATATTGTTCTTTTTTTTATATATTGATATGCTATTCAGGTGCATGCCACTTTACCCCGTCTCATTCTCCATCTTTATGATGATGACTTGAGTGTTCGTCAAGCATGCCGGGTAACTTCATTTTTCTTTTATTTTTTCATTTTAAATCAAGTTCTTCCCAAGGCTTTTGACAAAAATATATGTTTGAGCAGAATACCTTCAAAAAACTTGTACCACTAATGGGAGTGGATGGCTTGTCTTCCATCAACACCAAACAATATTTTAACTCAGATTGCCGGTGCGTTTTTCTCATCCAACTGTGCACAATTCTAGGTTTACAAAATTTATCATATTAATGAAACTTACATTTTGCATGTCTCAGCAATGACTATGAGGATTTTTTGAGGGACTTAACCAGACAGTTAGGCCAGTTTTTAGCCTCTAAAGTTGGCGCCTATCTGGCAGCAGTGATCCAGGTGAGAGTGACTTCCGTTTTGGTCGGGACAGCTTTCTTACTACTTCTTAAAGCAGTTTTTAGCATAAAAATTTTATTTGTTGTACCAGAAAGCCGTCCCAAACGAAGCCTTCATCTTCTTTGTTGTTGAAAAACTAAACAGATCGTTTAAGCTACTTCATATCTATTCCTGTACAGGCTTTTGATGCACCTTGGCCTATTATTCAAGCTAACGCCATATATTTTTCAAGTTGCATTCTCACTCTCCCGGAGGACCAACGTTCGTTGGCACATTATCATTTGCAGGTCCGGAACCCATTTGCATGTAAATGTAATGATATTGCTGATTCTATTGAAAAAAAAAAAAAACTAATCTTCTGTCCATCTTGCTTTAGGTAGTTTCAGTTCTTGTGGGGAAAATGAGTCAGTCCCCTGATACAGTTGTGCGAGCAACCTGTTCGTTTTCTTTGGGACTTCTACTGAAGTCCTCTTTTCCTCATATGTGGACATTACCTACAGATCCTGATCGAGATGATTCCTCAAAAACTTTAGAAGAATGAGACCAACGAAGTGCAAGCAAATTCATTCTATACTGGGAAGGTAAGTGGCCTCTGAATCTGATTTAGAGGAATGGAAAGTGGTTAGATGATCATGACCATACGTACATATAACTACGATTAAATCTGTGAGTTGTATTTATTATGTGTTAAGAGTGTGGTATAAACTGTTTGTATATTGACATGTATATTTTACCCGGATTGTGATAAAATGAAAAACAGCAAATGAGATTAAAGAAAATGTCATGGCCAATTTCTGAGACAGATTGATTTATCGGTGAGTGGGGGCTCAACTCTCTCATATTTCTTTCTCTATCTTTGAATGTTATATATATATATATATATATATATATTCCACTTCTGTTTCTCTCTGAATTTAACTGTCCTTATCCATACTTGTGTGTCTTTGGGAGCTTTCAGGTGGTACGACGTTGTTGATGCTTTTCCAATCCCTCTGGATCACTACCTTATGTTCACTCGGATTTGACTCTTTGTGGATATATATATCAAGGTGCGAGGTGCCTATTCAATTCTATTTTAGTCCCAGCTTGCAAGGCTGCTTTTTCAGTAGCTTTAAGCCTTTAACTATTGCGAAGATGGGAAACATGTAAATGCAACAATACTAAATGAAGAAAATATATAATAAAATAAAATGCAGGGTAATTGCTGAAAATATTGCTCTAGAATTTTAAGAAGAATTCACTTCAATTCATTATACAGGAAAAATACATTCAATAAATGCCCCTACCCCATAATTTCCTATTCAATAAAAAGACCCATAAAACTTTATTATCTCAGCTATGTTTACTACATAATATTACAATTCATGCTAAATTGTTAGCTAAATCGTAAATTTATGAAACATATTTAAATCTTATAAGATTCTTTCAACTCATAATACAAGCACTTCAATTCAACTACCTAATTATAACTACCCTATTGGTAACATTACTAGTATAATTATCAAGGGGAGAATATAATTTTGAAAAGCAACAGCCATTATAAATTCTTTTAATCAAGAAAATCAAACTGCCAATCTAGCAAAATATCAATTTAAAATAGTGCTCCTGCCAGCAATTTTTTTAAAAAAACCACAATAAACTTCCAAATAGAACCATGACTGTTTTATGAAATACAAAACTGTGAAAATTTTGCTCTAAATAGTGAATAGATCCTAATTCTTATACTCTAATTTGTACATTGCACGTAATGATGAAAGGAAAAGCTTCTCAGATTGATCTTTTTCCCTACTCGAACATGTACAAAATTCTAATGCACCAAGGAGCTACGAAAGAAGGTAAACGCATGCAAAGAGTTATATCTTCGCCCTTCCTGTTACAGAAATCATGTACTATATATGTTTATTTACAAACAAAATAATCTACAAACTAGACTACAAGTGTATTGGCCGCCTCCTCCCAGTATCAGTTCTCACTCTTTTCACAGGTCTGGCCCATTGCAACTCTTCTATGCTGGAAGCACCAACTCCACCACCACCTCTCTGTAGCCCAGCAGCAGGAAAGACTCGCCCGAAATCTTTCATGACTGGTGACCTGACACCGTGATTTGTGCCAACTGGCAATAGTGCCTGACTTGGATTTACCGGCGATAGCGAGCTCATCTTTGGCCTGACCGATGATTTGTCCCTGTCCTTCCTCTTCTTTTTGCAGATAACAAGGTCACCAGGGTGAGTTAGTAATGGCCCACTCTGCTCTAAGCTGCTTCCAGTGCTTCTTGGCCTTGTATCCTTCTCAAACCTCAATGGATTGGATTTGAAATTTGGTGTTTGACTTGCAGGCTTAACAGGGCTGGGCTCTCCATCCTCTCTAACCATATTTTGTAGTTTAGGGTTTATGCTGCATGCCCTCATGCTCTGTTTGGCAGCTTTTCCACCCTCACCTGGACTTGAGAAAGTGAGTGCCATCTTTGCCTCCCTAAAATCTTTATCTGGGAAAGCTATCTTCATGATATGGAAAAAGATATCTTGGAGTTTTCTTGCTTCATATTTCGCCTGTTACAATGAAAATAAACATAAACCAGAGTGTTTATAAAAGTTTCATGTTAGTAAACAACTTATGGTCAACTCTATATCGACCATCCTTTAAAGAGACATCTAAAAGTATATTCCTTGATTTAAGCTATGACATCAATAGTTTAAATGGTTATGACATTTAGTAAAATGATCCATAAATCTATGCAATTAGATTAACTTTCAATGGACATGAATTTGGCTCCTATATTATGATGTAAAAACTCAGGCTTCAAGCAATTATATATTTACCCCCTCAATCCCTCTCTCCAATTCTCAGTTATGGAGATCCACCCAAGCCTCTCTATTTCAAAGGGCACACATCTCGTGGCTGCCCAAAACCCTAAAGGACGTTATTTCCAAGAGCAAGGTTGTTGCCCCCTTTCTCATTCTCCTCTCAGATAGAATAGGGACAACCTAATCCCTTCAATTCCGACATAGAAACCTATATCCTCCAAGATAATTTCCAATAATCTAACTAATATTTCATACCCCAATCTCCAAATCATAAATTTAAAAAATCCTAAACCCTTATAACTAAAATACCCTTGTCCTCATCTTCTTACCATGTATTAGGGTTAGCAAAATTATTTAATTACCATTTGTCCAGGCTCAGCAAATCAGCATTGTAGTTTCGAAGAGCTATATCAATCTCAAAATTAGATTGGTCAGAGACAAGACTTTGTTAAACGTGAGCTTATTGTCATTAAGGCCAAGTCCTTGACTCCATTGGTGCTGGAGGAATGCTTATTGATCTTTCTCTACTATTACCACTTTCATACAGTTGGGAAAGAGATGTTTGTTAAAAAATGCAATTACAGAACTAAAACAAAACTAGCAACTAAAATGTGATGATTATCCGAAAGAACTTGTTCTTTCAACATCGTATACAGATTATATGAATTTTGCTTTCAATATTAAACGACAAGAGCTAAGAGCTTAAAAATTGCAGTAGTGAATTGGCAAGTTTTGCAACTAATGGAAGATGGCATACCTCTTGTGAGTGTTTGCAAAACTGAACTACATTTTTTAACATTGATTGCACGTCAGTGACGAAGTCTGCCACTTCAGCATACTCTAAACTCTCCACTCGCTGATCAATAATCCACAAATTAAAAGGGTTGCTCATCTTGGAAAATTTGCTTGTGGGGTTTGACGTATGATTTTTCTTCAATAAATCATATAACAGAGGTACAATTTGAAAACCTTCTTTATCTATCTTCCTCTGTAACTTGCTAATTACATTCTTGCACTGAAAGATAAATAACACAATATCAGGTCGAGTAAAGTTGGACGTAAGTATAAAAGCCAAGAAAGACAACCATGACAAGGCTATAGCAATATAAGGAACTTATAGATTCTAAATTAATGATTTTTTTTCATAAAAACAAGTCTTTAAAAAAAAACAAGTTGAACAATTACGTTTAAGTTTGTAAGAAAAAAGGGAAATAACTACTATGGTAGGATCCTGGGAAGAGGATTTTACAGTTCTTTACGTTCAGCAAAGCTACGTACAAGGCATTCATCTCAAGCAGATTAGAAGTCGTAAAGAGTAAAAAAAATCAGTTATTTCATTCCTCGTATAAGGACAACATGATTCAGTTTCAGGGCAAAAAAAAGGCAAAAGAATATTAAAATGTGAAATATTCCTCGGGCTCTGCAACCATTTATTCCTATATATTCTTATGTGAGAATAACAATCAGTTAAAAAATGGAATTCCATTTTTTAAACGAACATATTGACAGGTTTGGGGATTCTTCATCATCTTTAATTCCAAAATAAATTAGGTACAATTGGACGGGCATTTTTATCAATTCTCATCCACCACAAATTAACTCAAAAACAGAAAATATTTCTGTACACATGACATCAGATGTTTAGCATATGCTAAAAAACAACTACAAGAAGAATCTAAAGAGACTCCTATAAAATAGAATATAACAGAGCGTGCCTAGTTCATGAAGGTCCTATCAATGTAGAGTTCCATAGTGGGTTTATATATGCAACCTAACTCCTCCATTACAGAGGATGTTTTAATGATTAAAGCTCGTGACCTTCAACCTGCAGTAAAGGCAACCCAACCAATGCTCCTAGGCCCATACTCATAAAAGTGGAAATATTCAGTGAAAACACACCTTTAATATGAGCTTCTGGCGTACTACATTCTAACTTAAAACCCACTCGCTGTTTTCGCTAGAATTTGCATTTCAAAATGTAAAGATTTCTGTAGGAATGGCGGCAAAAGATCATGATTTGTATCATGATGCTATATAACTTTTTTATTTCATTTATAGGGAAAATTATATACGTTTTGTAATAAAATAGTTTGGAAAAAGCATCATATGCTGTATATTTCCACTCAAATATTGGGGTAAAGTATACCCTCTTATTTGAAATCAATGTTTACACAGAAATAGTGATACAACCAAGACGGGCTCCAACATTTTAAAATGTGAGTTGATGACCATACATAAGATGCATTTTTGAACATAATGCACGTAAGGTTATTTCACAAGTTTTCAAAATCGGAGTAACTAGTGAAGATAAAGAGATAGTTGGGGAAAGCAAGTGCATTGTCCAACTTAAGCTGGTTTTCTGTTTATAAACAGCAGATGCCTTACACTGTACCATGAACGTGAAGTTTAATCAGAATTCTACAAATTAATTCAATTTTGCCTTCCAAGATGGGCTGATTTCCCCTAGGATGTGATACTCATTTTTCCTTTTCATTAATCATTCTGAACAAAGAGAATCAGTTAACCAGAAGAACCTACAGAGAAACCATGCAAGTGAAAACAACTTCGCTGAGGGTAATTTTGAATTAGGGATGGGAAGCACACGAATCATAAAACAAGGCAGTAGAGTATAAAATTTCAATTATTCCATGCCGCACCAAACTACACTGAGATGAACTCATTTAATGTGTATCATTGCAATCTTCATCAATCTTACAACAACAATCAAGTACAAGCATTACCTACGCTAACACTAGATATTAGCTTTACAGATACTCCATGTTGACCTTTGTATGAAATCAAGAAGAAAACAAAGATGAAAATCCCGCAGATACCTGTAGACCGTTGGATCCGCGATATCCTGCTGAAATCCCGCTGCAAACGGCGGCGCTCCAGTCATTTCTCCGCGATTCCTGCTCAAACTCCGCTCGAGAAGGCTCATTCGCGTCGTTAAATACTCACCCGAGCAAAGCCTTCGGCGGCTCTTCCACTCTCAACGACCGAACCCCTCTGCTCTCGACTCCAGAGACCTCC